ACGAGTCATGAGAAGAGAGAAGCACTCGGCGACGTCGATGCCTGCAGGGACCCCAGGTGCTCGTTGCAATGGTCGAAGAAGTGACAAAGGAACTGGCGAGTCCGCTCAGTCTCGCAGTGGTGGGACAGGAAAGACACATCCCAACCAAGCAAAGACACAGAGTCATCAAGTGGCGGGAGGCAGGAAAGACAAGTCCAATAAGGTTCACAAATGCAAAAGCGCAAAGGCCTGCAATATGCGTTCATTGCTCCATCGGACTTCAAGGCTCTGGCATCCCAAAAAAGAGGAGCACTTCGAACAAGTGGCAACATGGCAATTCGAATGTCGCAAATCCCAAATTCACACCATGGAGCCTCAGCAGACACACATGCAACATATTCAACAGGAAAGGGCACCATGAATGTAACCAAGGACATACTTGTGCTACATGCTTCACTGGGCACCACCTCGCACTTCTATGGTGGCAAGCCTTTGGCATGCTGAGGTCCCATCCCATAAGAAGGAGCCATGAGACCAGCCCCACACAGAATGGCATGAACAGATCAGGCTGTGGGAATACGATCTCGTCACGCAGATTCAATGTATCTCCTCGCTTTATGCGTTCTGCCATTTGCTCCAAGTTGGCCAAAAAGCAAGCTTTTTGCAACAAATGTGGAAGTGCACAGACCGTTTGGAACCCTTCCGTCCCTTGGGAGCCTGACATTGGTCCGTTGGAGGGTCATGACGCTTAGGGGGTTGGGAACCGAAAAGGGCAACCCTCAAAACAGGAGGCACGTGTTCTTCAAGCTTCAAAAGTGGAAATACAAGTCCAGACAGTCCAAGGGCGCCGCGTCTTTGGCGTCGTCTCAAGCTGGGCAACAGCTTTCACACGCCGATGTCTCCACACCCAGTAAACCCCCCATTTGTGGGCATTTCTGGGGGGCAGAACCCCACGCCACGGGCAACACGCGCACGGAAAAACAAAATCAAAAAAACAAACGCAGCGCCCCCAAAGCACGCGCGCGCCCCGGGGCGGACCAAGGAGCCCTGGCCCGTCGCACGGATGAGGCGCACCACAAAGGGCAGCGCCTGAACTGCGATCGATGCCATAGTTACGGTGCCCTTTTGGGAAAATTGATGGGCCTGGTATTTGATTGAACAGGTAAACCAGGGCACTCTATTTGTCTAATTGAACCACCAGGTAAACCAGGGCACTCCATTTTTCTAGCAAATCAACCAAAAAGGACACCTGGGCATAGCTAGGGAAATGGACCGGTTTAACGGGTTTGGGGATTGATCTTCTTGCTGGGGATTTGTTTTCCAAAACCAGAATGTTTTATGGGGGGCCTGGGACCGGTTTTGGGGAAATTTCTTTGTCCAAAGCCTTGATTTGGAGAAATGCGTTGGGAAACAAATCCAAGGAGTGTGGGATTTAACAGGTTTCACGGGATTTACACGGTAGTCTTGCTTCCATATGGCAAGGTGCCATGTTGGGTACCACTTTTTGAGCTGCCATGTCTCAGTTGCCCAAAGAACATAGAAAAAGACGGACCTCACCAGAGATCCCTTTTAACGGAACAGTTTTTCAGGACCCTCAGTCAGGTTCCATGTTAGAGCCATGACTCCAAAATGGTTGCCAAATTTGGACAACCAAAAGGTTACAAGGTCGATTCGCTATGGTTGCAGGTGAGATGTCGATACCTGGCAGCACCTTTAACACACCTACAAACCGGACATAGTGATTCCTTGTTGGGCTTACTGCAGACAGCTACGTCACCCCAAAAGCATGCACTATTATGGTATGGATCTGGTTGCCTTTGCTGTGGGCTCGGTGGCCAAATGGAGCCAACCGGAGAACAAGAAAACAAAGCTGCCATTGAACATCAAGAAAGAGAGAAGAAGTCATGTTGTGCTTTGACCAAACGACCACGTCTTAAAAACCTCCTAGCTCCTTAGCTCCCTGTTTAAAACGAAAATTTGGATACCCAAGCTCGTTGGCTCCCTTCCAACCAACAGCTAGCAAATTGATTGGCTCTCCTTCTCTCTCCCTCTCTCTCTCTCTCTCGCTCTCTGTCTTTCTGTCTATCATGTTCCTTCTCTTCCCCCCACCGCCCCCGTTGCTCGCAACTCTCCCACTTCCGCGGCGACAAAAACCCACCAAAGCCCCGAAAAACCTCGAGCGAGTCCTCGGCACCGGTGCCCTGCAACTTCAGAGCCACCTCGGAGCTCTGAATGCGCCGCCTACTAGAAGCCCAAGAGGCTATAAGGTTTTTGAGTAGAGAGGATAGAATAAGGGTACACCTTTTTCAGTTTTGTCTATTTTAGTAGGGGAACCCTCCCAAAAACAAGGGGAGAGAGGGACCTAGGGCTAAATATGAGGGCCTTTAACTAAGACCCTTAAATTATGTTGGCCGTTGCTAGAGGAGAAAGTCAGCAACTGGAGTTGTTTACCTTTACCTTTACCCTATCACTTGCCGGGTGTCTTTGATAGTGGTGAAAGAATGGCGCCGAAACAAATAGAATGGAGTTGTAGGCTACTCTAAAATTACATTTGGCCACTATAGGAGTCCATCCCCAAGCAATCCCCACCCTCGCCCCCGTTGCCATACTAAGGGGGACAAATTAGACAATGGCCCCCAATTAAACCGAAAACAGGACATTCCCGTCCGTTTTTTCCCCCGCCCCACCCCACCCCCGCCCAGCCCCGCCCACCCCCGGGCGGGAACCCGGCGTCGAGGCTCATGGCCAAGTCCTTCAGCGGCTTCCGCAGGCGCAGATGCACGAAACACTCCGCCAGCTGCGCCAGCTCCTACAGGGGTTGGGTTTTGGGGGGTTTGGGGGGTGAGGGGGGTTTGGGGGGTGTAGGGGGTGAGGGGGGTGAGGGGTGGAGGGGAAGGTGCGGGGTTTTGATGGGTTTGGGGGGGGGGGGGGGGTGGTTGGGCGGGGAGGGTGGGTTTGTTGGGGGGGTAGGGTGTGTGGCGCGCGTGTGTGTGTGTGTGTGTGTGTGTGTGTGTGTGTGTGTGTGTGTGTGTGTGTGTGTGTGTGTGTGTGTGTGTGTGTGTGTGTGTGTGTGTGTGTGTGTGGGGGTCAAAGGAGAACCCAAAGATATTGTTCTGCTTCTTTTGTTCAGAATGGAAACCTGGAATTTCGAGTTCCAGTAAAATACAACACTTCCTGCAGAATGTTCAGTTGCTTTCTTGGATCAGCCCCCATCTTCAGAGCGTGTTCTATGTCTAGACCCTGAACAACTGCTTTGAGGGGGATGTTGTTGCTATCGCGAAAAAGCATAGATTCACCATGGCTACTACTCACAAAACCAGCCGAAGCCCGGAGCCAAAGCCGAGTACGCCCAAGGCGCAAATTAAGAGCAAGGAAACCAACCCCAAACCACATAGGCAAAACATGTCCGACAACCCAACCCCAAACAACATAGGCAAGACAATGTCCGACAACCCATATGCTCACTAAAATTGTGTTTGCGTCTTCCTGGGATCCCAGTTACCCTACTGAAAACCCACCTATTCTACTTTCGAATTTCAAAAGTGTGGCAAGCCCTTGGTTCCCATTTCCGGGTGTGCTCTTTTTCTTAAGGGTACCCATGTTCTGGTGGGTTTTCAAGGGAAGCCAAAAGGACCACGGACGCCATTTTTTAACAACGGACACACCCTACTTCTGGGGGCCAAACCACGTGCCCCTGAACAGGTGCCCCTGGCATACTGGGAAATATGGCTACCATTTATGTACCTATTGCCCATTTGAGCTTCTGTATTCTGTAAGGGAACCTGCCCAGGGGACATGTTTGAAGACATTAGATACTAAACCACTGGCTTGGAGAAGGATAGAACTCTAGGGTTTGATTCCCCATTCTCTTCAACCATCCTTCTTTCCAAACACCGGATCCGTTTTCCGTGGGTTTCCGGAGGTGTTCTAGAAGGATCCCTGGAAAGAACGGAATTGGAAGTGTCCTCAAGGCGAGCGTCGGCCAGCAGCGACAGGCTCTGGTCCACCTCAATTCGTGGAAACGCGGCGGGAACAATTTGGTTTTGCAAAGGGCAATCCACAGAACCATTCTAGGGGACTTCCAAATCCATTCTTTGCACGGCTCCTTTCATTCCAAGGTTCTAGGGGACTTCCAATTCCATTCTTTCCAGGACTCCTTCTTGCTAGAAAGCCATCAGAACCCCAGGGAAAAACGGATCCGGTTGGAAGAACGATGGTTGAAAAGAATGGGGAATGAACCCCTAGAACCATCGGTGACCATGGGTTTTTCCAGGGAATCAAGGGACCTGTTCAAATCCCCAGCACCATCAATCCAAGTCACCATTTGGGGGGAAACCTAATTCATGGCATAAATCCACAGACCTGTTGGATAGAAATAGTTGGTTAGTGGAAGGAAACTAATCTAAAACCAGTGGAACCCATCTATTTCTATGGGAGCGAGGGTTCATCTCGACCACCTGTCGTTTGTCCAAAACTAAGTCTGGGCAGAGAAGTCCATCATGTTGCCAATGACTCACGTACTGAGGGCATGGGCCAAAAAAAGTCCAAACGTTGTGTTTACCACTAAAATCTGGGTGAGCTATGATATTTCACCCAGCTGAAATAAGGTGGTTGGGGGGGTTACTGAGGTAAATTCGGTTGTGTGAGGTCCTTTTTTGTTTCACCCGGTAAAATGGTCCAAACCCAAAAAGTGGCTAGAGTCAGAAACGGAACTCAGGGAGTGAGCAAACCTTGGAGATTCGTTGGCAGTCCTTTCGATGTTTGCTTAGCCAGAGACTAACAGCTCTCGACCAAATCAAGCAAAGGAGACCAAGTATTGTTAGTGAACCTAAAGCTGAAATGCTGACAGCGGTTGAACATCCTTGGCCGGCGCCCAGAGCCTTGCCTGGTTGGTGTGATGCTGTGGGCCATTGAAATGACATGCTTAGAACGTACTAAGCGAAGTGCTACATGGTGCGCTGTGTTCCTGATCGCACTATGGTCTTACGCCGACTCCCTGCAAAAATACACGCTCGTTGCACATCCCCATCTTGCGGGTGAGTCTACGCCTCGCTTTTCAACACTCCAGCGACGTTGCCCAACTTTAGGGCAGCGTTGGCTCCGCTGGAAGGATTCCGGATCCACACATGGGGTGTGTCTTAAAATAGGGCAACCTCCCAAACTGGTGGTTCTCCTTGTGGTTCCCCAATAAACCCACGAACATGTGGGTACCCGAAAGAAAGACACACCCACATGACCTGGCAGGTGGCGTTAACCGGTGCAGGCCTGTAAACCCTGCGCCTGCGTCAAAATGAGAAGTGGCCTGATAGTATCACCATGTGCATGCTTCAAACTAGCCGAACATGACACGACCATGGCAACTACTGCATATGCTGTTTACTTATTTATGTACGTGTGTATTTATTGTGCTTTAGATTATTGATTTGCTTAACAGTGCTTGTCTATATAGTGTTGTTTACTTATTGTACGCATTCAAAGTACATAATGTGCATATATATATACATATATCGAGCCTCACGATCCCCCGATGCGTCTCAACTCCGAATCCAGAAGTCCCGAAAAAAACCAAGCACCGCCACACATGGAGGCACACACCCAGGAATGGTGAAAAGGGCCATCATGAATCTTTCACTAGACTTCCATTTTGGTTGAGACCCCTGGAACAAAAAGAAAATCTTTCCAGTAGCGATAGATTCCCTTTAAAACCAACAGGGGGAAATAAGAATATATTTTTGGTGCAAATGGAAGTAGATTCCCTTTAAAACCAACAGGGGGAAATACAAATAAACAAATGTTGTGCCAATGGAAGTAGATTCCTTGGTGCCTAGCAGCCTCAGATGCCTCTTTAGAAACAGCCCATCTCTCCTTCCAAAATCATCTCAGACTTGGCTTGGCCAGGTCTGCTTGACTGGGACCGGACGCCAAAGCCGAACTCAGCACCCAGAGAAATTACCTACGTCTCACCTCCCATGGCGAACGCAAAGAATGCCGGACTGGTTTCGCCCTGGCAAGGTAAACTTGTTGTGTTGCCACCAACATGGTCTTCGCAAAAAGCCTAAAGTCCAGGAACACAGGAAGTGAGGCAATCAAAGTCTATCAAACTAAGAGTCAACAAGAGGCCCAAAAGGGCTAGACCACTCGTGACAGGCTCAGGGCCGTTAAATGTCGCAACCTTGGCCGATGTCATGTCGCTAGGATGGACTGCACTGCAAGCTTCAGGTGTTCAACATGTCAACGTCTTAGCTCGTTTCTTGCCATAATCAAACAACATTGGTTTCATATGACGTGAATCGTGCCACCCTTGAACTATAAGTATGTGGCATGCTAGCAATCATAGTTGCTGCTGCAACACTTGGATTGGCACAAACAGCCCACGTTTTCGGCACAGCGGTAAAACAATGACCCACCTGACTTCTGCCTGAACGGCCAAAGGGTGATCCAGAAACCAAATCCCCTTGTGATGCTTCAATCTTCAATGTCTCAACTCTCGTTCGTGGAGGCTGAGTCCCGCAAGGCTCTCTCACTCGGCAGCATCTTCGACTTCTGCCATGAGCATTCGGAGGGTCTCCTGACACGAGCAGTCGGTGTCTGGCAGTGTGAGCCAAGTTGGTGCAGAGTTGAGTATCAGCAACGATTTTGGCCGTGGATGGGGCCGTGACATTCTGGGCGCAGATAGGGAACAATGCCACTGTCTACCGTGAGGCATGCTGTTGCGCCAGTCCATTTCAGCCGCATCGCGTGCAGCAGCAGCACCAGCATCAGCAGCAGCAGCAGCAACAACAAGAACAATCACAATGGCCACAAGGACAACGAAGCTGAGGCAGGTTCACGCACTCTGACCCAACATAGAGCCATCCCGTGAGCCTCGGAAGAGCCTAATATGTTCAAGCTCCATCCCACAGCCTGAGGGGTTCTGAAAACAAAAGCACATCGCTTGGTTTCCTTTTGGCACTACTTAACACTCGCTTACTGAGTGGATGGCCACAAAAAGAAGAAGGTTCAAACTTCTTGTTTACCACTAAAACGGTCCTCTCAAAAGGTTTAAAAGTCCAGGAACTCTGGGAGTCAGAAGTATGGGCTAGTTGCACTCTAGGGCCCCGTTCACCGGCTCCGATAGATCAACGGCAAGTAGGCAGCAAAGAAAAGCTTGGTCGGTTCACTTCAATACCTAAGGAACCCGCCGAAGCTTCATTCATCTCTTTACTTAACAAGAGGAAGTTTGTGTCATTAGTGTGATTCTGATGTTGCCCATACCACTCCTGGAAGGCGTCCTCTTCTGCGCGACATCTGCGGACGCATTAGAGTGCTGTTGAGTCTTTGGTCTTGGAAGCGATGTTTTGAAGGAGCAACCATGGATCTGGATACAAATGTCTGTTTTTGGGGATACATACCCCCCCCACAAAACGCCCCAAAATGTGTTTGTTCCTTGTGGCTGCCCCTTTAAACCACAAACAAAGTGGTACCCTACAAACGAAGGACGAGCCACCCGTATGCAAACAGCAGATTCCCCCGTTCTCACCAATGGCTTGAGGTTCTTAAGGGCGAACACGACAGATCAGCTGAGGGACTTTTGTCCGGCCGTTTCCATTGAAAATCCACAGGCCCGCAGGAACCCTTAGGAGTCGTCCAAAAGAGGTCGGTTAGTTGGTGGGAACGCATCAGGCAGTTCCCAAGCACATCTTCAACAATCAAGACGGGGCTGCAAAACACTCAGCTTCCACACAGCATGTGAGTAATGGTTCACACTACTGGCCCACGGTTGTCATGGCTAGGTGCATAACCATCCCAACGTCAACCGCCAAGCTTCCTCTCTCACTGGATGCTGTGGAAGGGACTCCGGGAAAAGAAAAGGATGATCCATCCATCTCTCCCTCCATCAACGTTAACCTCAATGGAACCGCTCGAAATGACCATGGCACATGCAGCAAAGCAAGCCAGGCTGAGGCTCTGCCCGGCCAAATTGCCGGGACTTAGGTCAAATACTACCCACCAAAATGGCGCGACGGTACAGTCGGGCGGGCTAGGCACACATCAACTTTATTGAACTGTGCTTCGCGCCTATAGGATACAGTTCATGCGACCGGGTTACAGGGTCACATCACCTCCACGTTTAGCTTGCGAACCCTTTGAACCATGCTGCAAGACGTATGCCAGGAGCCGCAAACTACACTGGATTGCTGGATTGCTTGCTTCGAGAAGAGCTTTGTACCCACCAAAAGCTCCCCTTACAAACTCCGCCCTAAAAATGGGTACCCTCCCAGACAGCCTTTCCAGGCATCCAAACATTCCGGTCTGAAAGCAATATCGCCGTGAAAATACGCACCCTACCGCTTTATGTTGGGCATCTATGCTCGAATGTCCGCTCGAGGATTGAAATGAAGTCCTTTGTGACCACAGCATCTTCAGCAGGATTAAGCAATCAAACCAAAATGCGGGGGTCGCTGTACTTCCCGGCGAACAGTTGCAATTTACAGCTGGTTTTCCATTCAATCTGCCAACTTTTGGAGGTTTCCAAAAGGCAATGGAGGATACCCCGCAACATGCGAAGGAAAAAGGAGATACCGACTTTGCAGCTTGAAACAGCCCCATGTCTCCCCTCCTCCCCGAAAACCGAGCAGAAAATGCATTCCGAATGTGCGCCTGACGTCCTCCACAGGCCTCGGCGAATCCAACGCCAAGAGGCAGTTTGCTGGGCTGAAGCTGGGGGTGAAATACTGGGTCTGGATCAAAAAAACTCACTCCCTTTTGGCAGTGCGGCGTCTTTTTGGTCTTGCCTCGTTCCCTTTTGGTTGTATGCTTTCTTTTTGGCCACCCCATCCCCTTTCGGCCTTCTGTTGGGGGAAAACATGAATTGCTGATTTTAGCACCGAAGGCTGAAAGATCTTGGTTCCAACACAATTCCTTTGAAATTCCTGAGAAGCCACCGGCAACATCTGGCATCAAGCCTTCTGCAGCATAGTAAAGAGTGGAAGTGGCAACAAGTTTCCCTTCGGTCCTTTGAGTTAGAAGGCAAGGCTGCTGTTAACATTCAACACGATGCATTCAGTCACCGCTCACCGAGATTGGCAGGACCTTGCGTGATGTGTCTTTCTTTGGCCTTGCTGTCAATCAGGGTCGGTTCCACTGCTCTTGATTTTGTGTCCGCTCTGCGCGTGATTGTAAATAGCGGATCATTAAAACAAACAATGACGTGCAACAGCAATGAGAAAACATACTGGTCGCTCACGTCTTGAAGTTTCAACTGGACTCATTATTTTACCATGGTCAAAGTCACCCCCTAAGTGGTGGGTTAAAGGGAAACAAACCCCATTTCTGACTTTGATCATCCCCAGAAACCGTCAAAATAATGACCCCTGTTCAATGACAATGATGTTTTCTGTGGGTAGGTGTCAAACTTGGGCCAACAAAAATGCTGCCTTCCCTTTGGGTTCCTTCCACCTCCAGCGTGCCCAAAAAACACACACGCACACCCATGTCGTTGACAAGGCCGGCAAGCATAAGCTTGCCTTGAACCTACTACCACTCCGTGGTCGATGCTTGGGATGCTAAATGGAGCTTCTGCATAGACTGAATATTGTCATTCAATGGTCATTTCCCCATCCACATGGTGTTAAACATCGCGCGGTGCTTTGCAAAAACGTGATTTACCACAGATGCACATGTGGAAACAAGTCAAGCCTTTGAATAAGAAAAATGGAGTAAATCGAGGTGGCAATATTTTCCAATCATTGAGAACGCACGGGGTCGTTCAGGCTCCCCAAGGATCCCTAGACCTCTCAACTACCCACCCTTGTTCCTACCCCCCTTCGGGATTCCTTAAACACATGCACTTGCGCGGAGACTGCGAGAAACGTCGATGGTAGGAAAATCCGCGCGGACCATGACGTTAGACAACTCTGCGCTTCACCTGCCACGCATAGCGAGTTTCGCGCTTTGAGTCAGGTATGCCTTTCCAATGGCGACTGTGGCACTGAACATAAGCCCAGGTCCTCCAGCCTGCCATTGGAAACAAATGACCATGCCCAGGGTGGGGTGTCTTTCACAAGCAAAATGACAAGTTTGACGTGCCACACAACATACGTGTCTTTGGCCCCTCCACACAATCCCTTGAACAACATGAGTGTAGGTTGCAGCATCTGATTAACCTGAGGCAAGTCATCAGGAGCAAAGCTTCCCTTTCAACCTAAGAATATGATCATTCCAGAGGCTAGCGATGTTTCTCTATACTCAAAAAGCTGTTCAAACTGATGCAAACATAGGTGACCTTTAAGAGAAAACAATAACGCAATAAAACCAATCCAAGCCAGCGGAAGCCATCTATTTCTAAGCAAACAAGCCTGCTTTGAGCACACCTATGTGGGAGAAATGGGTCATTGTTGCAGGGTACCCCAATTGTTTGGCCAGTTTTACCGGGAAGCCAAAGCTTGGTTGCCGCAACGACCCCCCTGCAAAAAGCTGCAATGTTTGGGGGTTTCGTGGAAAAACAAATCCTTGGCTTCCCAAAAAGTCTTTCAGTCTAAAGATCCAAGCCAGCAGAAAGAAATGGCCAGCAGCTGCCAACTCCTCGCCAGGTGCGACCCCGAAACCGAGGCCCGCACATCGGCTGGGAGGCTCGCCGCCTTCGAGGAGTCGGCCCGGTCGACCCGGTCGACGGTGACCGGGCTCTCCGTTCTGACCCCAGGTTTTAAGGCTCATGGAGACTGGTCTCCATGATCCTTGATCCTAAAAACTAGGTTGGTCATTTACCAGGGGTCATGGCCAACCATCTTTTAAGCGCCATGGAGACTCCAGGTACAGTGGTTCTTCCAATCGAGTGGATGGACGCCAAAAAGAGTGATCCGGAACTTTTGATTAACAATTTACCACTAAAATGATCCAAACCGAAACAGTAACTCAAGTCCGAAGCGGAATTCGGGAAGTGAGTATAAACCAAGTACCAAACACCACCTACTAAAATTGCCTTTCGGGAGTTTGGGGTTTCCCTGCTCAGCACCTGGAACGTTCACCAAAGAATCCTACATGTGCCAAGACTTAGCCTCTCCAACATGCCGCCGGTTCCACTGCCCAAGTGACAGCAGTCTAGCAGACTCTACCGCCAGACCTGCAGATTTTGGCCCACGTGTCCATTTACCAGGGTTCATTTTTTCTGGGCTTCCCTCAGATCCCCCGCTATAAGTGACTAACTTTTAGTCGGTTGAATTCGGAAACTACCGAATCTAAACACTAAAAGGCTAAAAAGCTAAGGAACCGGATGGCTGGGAGCCACCAAGTCTCGGGCACCAAGAATTGACACACTGGCATACCGCCATAAAAGCTCGCAAAACTTGCCTAGCATTTCTCATGTTCTGGCTGGCCCCAGCTCGCGATGCTGTGGCCCCCTTTCCAGCTGATATCTATACATGTATGTAGGTAGGCAGGTAGGTAGGTATGTATGTAGGTACGTATGTAGGTATAAGTCTAAATTAACATTAGCAGCCCCTGCTTCTCCCTCATAAAATGCCTCTGCACTCTGCACGAATGGACCCTGCCATGATCATACGGCTGTATAAGGTCCGGTTTGGGTAAATCGGAACCACCCCTAACTTCCAAGCCAGCAATCATCAAGTGGTTGGGATTGGTGGTTTGGAGACTTGCACACCTGGGCAAATTGGAAACCTCCCCAACTTCCAAACAAGCAATTCAAGCTACCAAAGGGGAGAGATGACGGAATGGCAACGCATGCAACGATAGAGAAGAAGCCAACTTTGACTTCCATTCACGAGGCGGTTTCTAGGAGCTCGAGACAATTATGAGGGCTTTGAATCCCCAAAGGCCTCAAATGAGGTCTTGGGCTAGGGAGCTGTCAAGCTACGCACGTCTCTGTTGTGCGATGCGGAACATTTCTACCGCGCACGAAGGCGTCCCTGGCGTTCTGCGACGGATCCTTGAAACTGCCAGTCTGCAAAGGAACATTGCCGTGCTCACCACTTTGCTGGTCCCTCTCACTCTCTCTCTCTCTCTCTAATATGGACACCTGCACACACGCAAAATAGACTTTCAGCTTACCAGGAGATTGCAGCAGGGAAGAGTTTGTTTGGGGGCAATTCCTGTGTTGGCATTGCTTTGGCACCCACAAAGCACGCCCCACCAACCGCTCCGCATTGAATTCCCTCCACTGAAGCACATTGTATGCCCCGGTGCATTGGAAATCCCTCGTAACAAAAACACAGACACATGTCCAGAAAATACAATAAAGGGCAACAGTACCACTACCTATCAAAGAACAAGGTTTGGCCATTTCAAAAAAAGCAACGCCCACTGTGTTATGCTGGATGACCTGACTCATCATTGCACTTCCCAGCACTGGATGAAAAGACATGACACCTCCCTGCAAACTGTGTATTATATATATATATATGCAGTCCCATCGGCAAAATACTTGAATAATAGCAGATTCCACTGAGCATTCAACTTACATCCTGAGCTGGTTGACCAGAAAAGGTAACCAAACATTCTTGTTCACCACAGTCCAAATTCCCAAAAAGTGACTACAGTCCATGAACTCAGAGCGTGAGCCGAAGAACCGTTTTCCCAACACCTTGTTGACACGTTTGGGCGCGGGGGCTCGCTCAAGCGCTCATTGCTTCACCTGCGACGGCCCGCCTCTCCAGCATACCTTGCCATTTCTCACGGAGCTCTTTCACAGAGTCCTGCGAAAGACTGGCTGTGAGTTGGTCTCTGAAGGAACCCAAACAAAACGGTAGCTTTCCGGTAGGTGAAAAGTCCCCCCCAAAAAAGCCACATACGCCCATCATGTCAAGCGAGCACTTTGCTAATGTAGCTTCCTGGCGCGGGATCTGGCTGGGCGTTTGATGGATTTCAGCTGCCCTGGCGTTGCGTTTACCTTCATGACTTGTAAGCATTGAGGGCTCGCTCCGAATTTCCGGCATGAGCCACGTTTAAGACGCCAAATGACACTTTGAGGTCAAAGCACGCGCGAACAAAGGACGGCATTTCTACGTTGTTTGGCGTGACCCTCTTTAGGAGAACCCCCCCCCAAAAAAAAATGGTCCATTAAAACTAACCATAAAACAGGGGTACCACTACGGAGTGCCAGGGCGGTTGTAGCTTCGGTTGGCTTGGCTTCGAGGCGTCCGCGGTTTAATGTACACTCATGGCGGGTGTCGAGCTGATGTCGAATACGACTTTCAGGGCGGGTAGGTTAAAGAAACTTGAGTGTCTCAATTAATTCAGCTGGCAGGATTGCCTTGGATGGATTTGGCTTCAGGGAGTGGTTCGCCTTGGGTTTGAGTGGTCTCAGGTCTCATTGATTGAACCGGTTGAAGGTTTCAGCATCAAGTTTCTTGCTTGCAAGCCGGCTTGCTTGCTAGAACTGGCTGACTCCGGCACTTGCTGGTTGGTTGTTGGCTGTCATTGGTTGTTTGCTTGCTCGCTCGCTCGCTTAGTTGCTTGCTTGGGAGCAAGGCATGTTCACCCTCGCGAGGTCCTAGTGCTCCTGGCCAAGCGAACATGTCTCAGCGTGCGCAGCCCAAAGCAAGCTAAAGCTTGTGGGAAGCAGGTGGTTTCTTTGATACAACTGCAGTCATGGAAGGGCGATTCAACAAGGCGGTTGCCAACTGAGAGCAAGCTTCTTGAGTGTTGTTGAGGGCACCCTGTTCAGCTTGGTTTAAAGTCAAAACGGAAAGCCAATTGAGGCCCCTCCCATTTTGACACCCCTCTTTGTACTCCCAATCAGCCAACTCCGGGCCCGTCAAAATGGGCCTGATGTTCAGAAACAACCTTCGCGGAAGTCATTTTCCTGAGCGAGACTCTGTCCTGAGCGAGACTCCGAGCCCGGTCGTCGTTGGCGAACACCTTGAGCCTAGCAGTGGCATCCGGTCTCTGGATTCCATGCCGGACACTTGAAAATGTGGTCTCCATGCTTTCCCTTTGGTTTCCATCATGTCCTGACTTGTTGCTGCTCTCCTTTAAAACACCATGCGAAGTGGGTTTGCGTCCTGTATCAAAGTGTAAACTGTTGCGTAGCGTAGCGCTTGTGTGTGTGTGTGTGGTGTTGCGTTGCGTTGCGTTGTGTTGTGTTGTCTTGTGTTGAGAGGTGTTGTGTGGTGTGGTTTGGTGTGGCTTGGTGTGGTGTGGTGTTGTGTCGTGTGTTGTGGGTCGTGTGTTGTGGTGTGTAGTGTGCTGTGTGGAGTGATGTGGTGTGGTGTTGTGCTGCGTTGCATTGTGTTGTGATGTGGTCTGTGTCTGTGTGTGTGTGTGTCGTTGTGTCTCTGTGTGTCTCTGTGTCTCTGTGTGCGTGTCTGTGGGTCTGTGTTTGTGTGTGTGTTTGCGGGTGCGTCAATGTGTGTGTGTTTGTCTGTTATGTGTGTTGTGTGCGGGTGGGTTGGTGCGGGGTGGGCTGGGTTTGATGCGGGTTGGGCTGGGGTTGGGGGTGAGCAGGGGGTGGGATGGGCGGGGCGGGGTGGGGAGGGGTGGGGTGGAGTGGGGTGGAGTGGGGTGGGGTGGGGTGGATGAGTGGGGCGGGTGCTGGTTGCGTGTGCATGTCGAAGCTACGTGAACCTCATGCCATGTGTCGTGTTTTGAATTTGCAGAACACGCCGCACGCACGCCCCAACAAAAGTTCAATCTCAGAAACTTCCCGCCTGTCCAGATCCAATGGTGAAGCATTCTCGCCTCGGAACTTGCGTGAGTTTCGGCCAAAACAAGTCAATCCCTATTTGCGGCCGGGCATTGGACAAACACCCACAAATGCGAGAGCACGTAAGCCGCAGTAATGTGCACATCACAGGACAGCTCTAGGACGGCCCTCCAAGACTGTCAGGAAATGGATGCAGCCGAACGAGTATCTAAACACATCGTGAGACCTTATATGGTTTGCATTCTACCAACCATGTGACACATAGCACATGTTGATCATGGTGTTTGGCCGTCATGCCATTCAAAATCTAGTGCAACAAGGCACACACACACACACATCAAACTTCCAGACACTGACTTCAAACACGAAGGTCGAGAAGATTAACAGGCTTCAAACATTGCAACAACCAGAAAAGCAATCAAACAGCAAGATCTGGCTGCTTGCTTGATGCCACGAACCGGTGACGCCATCAGATTTGGCGGAACTTGTGTTGGCCTTGCAGTGTGGGCATGATGGTATGTGTGCTTATTGGTATCCAGAAGAAACACAGCTAGGCTCCATGTGGCGTCAAAGCCACGAATCGAGTCGGATCGCACCCCTCGACTCACGTGGCCTGCAAACCAACTGTAGCCAAAAGCATCCGATGGCAACAGTGTGCACTTAAACTTGGGAAGTGATCTCAATAGGTCCCACGAAAGGTGGCTGCTAATGACATGAGTTGCTGAGGTTTGGCAACTCCCGAGTCCCTTGAGCCACAGTGTCCTAGTTCAGCTTCGACACAACTTGCCACATGTCCCAAAGCTCACCAATTGGATGCTTACCACAAATAGGACTCTCCCCTATGGTTGAATGCCCATTTAGTTTTCTTTGACCGCCAAGAAGTGGGTACCAAAAGACGGGAGACATGCCCATACCACGCGTTGACACCGATATCAAGTCTTCCCTTGTAACCTTCCCTGCTGGATGACCCCAACGCGAAGTGATCTGACTTCAGTTGCAACAGCCGGTCTCGCCTTTTTGCAACCGAAAGGCTTCTCCCTTGTTGTCTCAAACTTAGACCCTCAAGAATCGGGACCCAGTGTTCTTGTGGCTTCAATTCAAACACCAACTACACAAACTCAGCGGAGTGTGCCCAAAAACGAACAAACACCCATGTGACTATGATTTTCATTCGGGAATCACCTCCAAGGTGTTTGGCGGACATGAACCTCTGTTCTCAGGATTCCCCTCGCGCTGTTCGAAGCATCGCACAAAAGCCGGGCTCGAACACACGCATGACGTTTTTGGGAATCTTAAAATTCACACCCATTTTCAGAAAAACAAATCCCTTCACTATACATGTAGATGCATATATTCAAAAAAATATTTCGCATGGAGACCATGTCAAAAGCCGCGGGTTTAGCTTGCCTTTTTCCCGGCTCAGCCGCCCGCCCAGCAGCTCAAACCGTGCCGAGGCCAGCTGTTGCGAGGCCTCTTTCACCTCACGCGGCGGCTGCGATGCGTATGGAATGACCCCTATGGTTTTGGGGATTCCTTTGAAGGAAGCCGTGAGGGGATGGTTCTTCTTGGGGTGAATGGAAAGAACAACCATCCAACTGGTGGCCTTCCTTTTTTTCGGGGTCCCCAAGACCGGCTCATTCCTAAGCCTACTTCTCGAGCCACGTTTGCTTCCCAGAGGTCCCAAGGTCAAGAACCACCGCGGGGTTTCCTTTGAACCGGCGGCTGCGCCTTTTTGTTAAGCCTGGCGGTACTCCTGTTTGTTCTTGTTTTTCTTTTTTTAAAGGAAGCCTACAGGACACCCACGATTTTGGTTGGGGTCCCCGGAAGAAAAAAACAACTCCCTAAGTGGAAACAACCCGCAAAACGGGGTGGCCGGCCAGTCAGCCAGTTTGCAGTTGCACATCCAGGAGGCCCATAGTCTCTGGAAATGGCTAGCGAGGAACTTGAACTTCCTTGTGGCATCCGAACAATGGGGAAGTCTCTGCTCTCTGTGAAAAAGGTGATTCAGAAAAGACCAGCAGGAAACTACCAATTTGAGACGTGGAGTTCAGTCTTCTGAGACAAATATATTTTATATGTATACATATATATATATAGCATGTATTGTCATTCATGTCTCGTGAGCTCGCAATCCCGACCAAAACACGCCCCAGAAGGCCCAACCAATTGCAAGAAAAGATTCGTCCGCAACATCTTCCTCAACAAATTGCTTCGATCAGCCCTATGAGACATTGATTGGTATACCCCCATCCACTTGAAGACAAAAAGAGGTAAACGAAAGCTAGTTGCTGCTAAAGGTCGGCAACGAGAAGAGCAGCACTCGAAGAGCCCTGCGTGCCTGATCCCCAAAAAGGGATTTCAAGGAGCAATGCGCAATGCAGATGGAAGGACGCGAAGCCAGCGGAACAAGAGCTACGTCCCCCGTATCATCGCAGCGCAGCATCACCTTCAAGATTCATGGAAGGCTGGCCACACACACAGCTCGGGACTGTGCGTCACTACTTGATCCCTGCAGCAAATGGCAAATGTCCAAGCTCACTCACAGGGGTGGGTAGGCGTGGAAGTGAAAGGGGATGGAAAAGCGAACAACAATGGCTGAAGCCTTGCTCCGCCAGGCTGTTCAGGGCTGAAAGAAATGCGCAAAGCACACGGAAGAGCGCAAAGCTAGTGCCAGCATCACTGCAGAGCAGCAATACTTCAAAACTCAACACTGGCCAGAACGCACTCAACTGGGTATTCCGCGTCCACCTTTGATTGCAGCTGCATGATATGGCGACCAGTACTTCTGCCCAAGCACGCATAATCACACATGCAGGGAAACAAAACAAGAGCGGGGACAGGGGAGGGAAAGCGGAGGAAGCGAGAGCAGAACAAAAAGCCGCAGTAGAGAGAAGAGCAAAGCGAGCGGCACGAAGATTGCGGAGCCGCAAACCAGGGAGCAGTTGGCGGGATATGTACACATATATATATATAATACGTATTATCATGTATTATCACAGGTCTATGGGGACTCACTGGTTACTTGCTAAATAGAAAGGCAAACTCCTGGCAAGCTAGATTTCGAATTTCGTGAGTCAGCAGTGTCCTTCAGATTCCTCCAGAAAGGAATTGTTACAAAGGACCCACTGAGAAACAACTCGCGGAGTGGTTTTGCATGTGCGAGTGGCTTTATGCGCACCTGTCCGTTGTGGCCACTCATCCATCCTTTTGTTTGGTCAAGTGTCGTGCGATTCTTGCTGGATTGTGAGGGTTTTGGATCGCGTAAACCGAACGAACACTATTTATTTCCAGGGGTATTGCTGTGCCCACACCACAGCCGTAGAGGTTTTCAACTAAAAATTGGGGGGGGCTTTGTCGCTGGTTGCTTCGGACGCAACCCAAACCCGAAGGAAGCCAAACGTGGCAGCGTGGCCTTTGGATCAACTCAGGTGCCCAAGGGGTGTAACTTTTCAGTGGGAAAGAAGGAGTGCCGAGATCTCGGCCAAAACTGATCCGGAAGTCTCTTGGCGAATAAAACCGCGGTCTACCCGCGTGACCTGAAATCCACCAACAGAAACACAAACACAGCATTCCATGGTCCCCTGCACATCAACATGGAGCCAGAACAGGGCGTAGAGCGATTTCCAAAAGATGTGCAAGATGCCTGGGGCCGGCGCTCGTTCTTCCAGGCGCTTGGTGCGATAGTCCATCTTCAAGAAGCTCTGCATCTGCTCGCTGCCCTGCAGAGTGCGCATCACAACTCTTTGCTCATAACTTGGTTGCTGCAACGACCCCCCTGCAAAACGTTTTTCACTTTTTGGAGGTTTGGTGGAAAACCCCTTAATTTCCACCAAAAGTGAAAGTCTAAATCCCACTGCAAATGATAGCAAATTGCTTCTACTAATGCCTGGACCAAACCTCCACTGACGAGATGGGACGAGCATATTGCATACTACACGCCATCATCCCACGTCATATATATATATATATATAGAGTGGTCGCCTGGAGCAGCCTATTCAAAATTATACAAGCCACCATCTGAAAAGGGTATCTGGCGTGGTCAGGGAGCACATGCTAATCAGTGTAGATCAAGCCGCGGCTTCCAGGGCCGCCGTAAAGGGGCTTCTAGGCCGCAGCAAACCAAAACTATGGCGAGACGGAGACATGGCGGAACTGGAAGCAACGCCAGCGAAGAGTGCCACTCTATGAGCAATCTGCGGAAGTGCTGATCCCTATCGGCCCTATCGTGCGTGTACACTTCCTCAAACAATCATAGAAGTACACAGTTTGTTTCATTCAACAAACATGGAAGTGTACAGCAAATTCCGGGTCTTACATGGCAGTGCACCTGCAAAATCTTTGTGCTAACATAGAAGCTGCACCAAATACGATTTCGGTTCGTGCCAGGGCATCGCCTACGGGTAATCCCCGGGGAACGCTGGGGGACACTTAAAACCGGCTTCATAAACATGGCACCTACGTGTGTTTCAGTCTGATCCCCAGATGACTTGTGACAAGACAAGGCAGGCAACAAGCACTTGCCCAGATTTGAACACACAGCAAAACGATGACACAAACATCCAAAACCCTCTTCGCGGTGCTGGGTCCAGACAGGTTGTTGGTAACACAATCAATACTGAACTTGTACCACAGCTCCGTATCTGACGTTAAGGCTGGAAATCGAGCTGACACGGAATTATCATTTTGAAAGCCCAATATTGATATGCTGGTGTGCATCTTGGAGAGGATGGCACCACCTGGCCGTACTAACAGGGCTAAGGAATCACACCTTTTTCTCACGACTTCATGTGGTTTCAAAGTACCCCACAACCCCAATTCTAGATATGTCTTTCCCCATAGTCTATCTGCTTATGTCCACTTCACTGTGCTCAATTGGCTGCCAAAATAGCTCAGTGCGGCTCCCTTCATAACATGTCTATATGTCATAGGGCGGGCAAAGTGGTGGTCCTCTGTTATGGCTAAAATGGGCACCCTCAAGAAAACTCCCACGCAAAAAGAGAGATAAGTCTGACGCTTGACTTTCCGTCCATCGGCCAAGCCAACAACAAATTGGCCTTGTTCTGGTCATCGGTTCTTCCCAAAGGGTCCCAATTAATTTGGGGGCCTTAAAATGACTTCGGGAGCCTCCATTGGAGGGGTCATGACCCTTAGGGTTGTACATGTCATCCTGAACGTTGCGCTCCTAAACCGGCTTCCTTCTGACTCGGTTGAAAAGGCAATGGACTAGCCTGTAGTCCGTATATGCAAGCCACCGCACAAGGGAAATCACTACCATCTGGCATAAGGAGTACTACGACAGTTGTTCAACGACCAAAAAACCAGGGGTCCATCCAAAAGTTTCTCAAAATGGTGGGCCCCTTTTGGGATGGCTTTGGGAACCCC